GCAATAGGACTTTTATCGAATAGAAATAGCATTAAGAATTTTCAGGTTCGCTATTATTGCACCGAAGGTCATAAAAGTAAATTTAAGCCTTTCGCACGAGGCGGCCGTACTGGAGAATTGTCCATTTGCTTTTTAAGGATAATTTTTGAAGATTGGCGCAATTTGCTTGGAAGTATTCACTCGGTGCCAATACGCGCCATTGTAAGGTAAGGAAATATCGTATTACTGTAAATATAGTGAAAAATATGAAAAGCCTTCGGTTATTGGTGTTTTAGTGCTCGTAAATCTTTCACCGAATACTTCACACGTGCAATCGCGCATTTTCACTGGTTAGCGCAGGATTACATCATTATCAACAAAGTCATATGATCGAACTCCGTAGTCAGTAATAGCTTAACTTACAAATTTGAGGATAATTAAAGCTTAAATTATGAATCTTATGAATCATAATTAATATCATACCTATGCCAAAATGGATATAACGGGGAATAAATCAAAGCTAGTCAACTAGGAAAATACCTAGAATTTTCAGTGCACATTATATGACACTAAACGTCTATCTCTTTGGAAGGCATAGCCGTCCTCTCTTTTTCTCATTTCAGTTATGAAAATCTCGCTGCAACTCGAGAGAACGAGCAAGATGGAAGGAGAGCGAGGGAGAAAGAGAGTGTTAGCGCGCGGGGTTGGAGGGGTGGGGTGGAGTGGGGGTGGGGTGGGGCGAGGAGGAGAAAGTTTTAAGCGTAGAGAGCGTATGCCGACTTGAAAAGTAAAAGTTTTCCGGCTGCAATAATCGCGGGCTGTAAAAGTTTATCCGTTTGACAGATTTAAGCGTAGAGAGCGTATGCCGACTTGAAAAGTAAAAGTTTTCCGGCTGCAATAATCGCGGGCTGTAAAAGTTTATCCGTTTATTGCGCCAGCCATTACCTCTTGAAACGGGGCAATAACTGATTTCGTCAACAGTCCTCTTGACGAGATCCTCATCGCATTTATTGAAATGATCCCTCTCGTTGTCGCACTAGCTCGCGCCAACGTGCGTGCGAGCGCATTTCACCTTCCCTCTATTTTTTTTCCTCCTCTTAATCGTTTTATAGATTTACCGGCCGAGGCCACGTACGGGGAGTCTTACAGGAGCGTGTCTATGACCAATTACGACCGGGTAAAAGTTCTCGCGTCATCAGTTTCCTTCGATGCTCGCATCTTTTCCGATCGATTCGTTCGTTACATCGCGCGAACGATGACGATAATGAGCCTTGGCGCGGGTTCACTGCGATTTCATTGGCGAGTTTCTGCAGCTCAACGGCAGTCTGGCTCGGCTCCTGCAATCGTAATGCATAATTATTGTGCGTTTCAGCAGAAGCTCCTTCGACATCATCAAAACTTTGCGATTGGCTGGAGGAACGGAGACATTACGTCATAACTTAATCTTGTCCTTAAGGATTTTATGAAAATGCTGCCAGTCGAGCGTCTAGTGAACTAGTTAACCCTACCGAGCACAGATTAATGTCCGGATAAAGCACTTCTATACGCAATAAATTTTTGAAGCACTAGAAACTTTGCTCGTTTAAAATAAATTTATAATCGAAATTAGAAAATTGTTGTCAATAAATTTTATATACGAGAGTCTCAGTTCATGTGCGAACACTCAACGCTTCCGATCGCACAATTGTATTTTCCAAGTAATATTTTTATTATTCACGGATGGAATTTTATTGTTTTCTCCATTTTCGGATGATCGGCAATGGTATCTGACGCTCTGTCTACGACAAAGAAAAATGTGCTACTTAGACGTATCAATTCGTTGTCGGCTTGTAAGTAAAACGTTATAGATAAATGTCGATTGATGATTTGAGAAGCGTTAAACGGCCGATAAAATTTTTAAGTCCAATTGTAAACTAACGTTATCGATTCAAATTTCGAAATATTAAAGTCATTATTGTCAAAGGTTATTTTCTGGCTGTTGCAATTATTTCGGGTCAAACGTTAAATGAGGTGTAAAATTGAAGTTCAACGAGACAATATTGTATTTTCGATTATCGAGTTTTATTTTACAATGTTATCAGATTCTTGAGTGTATATTAATATTTTGTCGATGCAATTTCAACGATTAAAAAGCAAAGTGCACGCGTTTGTGCAAAATGTTGTAATTCGTAACAAGAAGAAGAAAAGGAATTAAATGCTCGAGTTATTTTTAAATTATAAGCTAGTCTTTACAGTTAGCTATTCGGGTGAAACATTTTGGTTAAACGTTAAATCAAAATGCAATTATATTTACATAGTATTTCGTGAAAATTCCATGCACTTTTGTTGGACGTATTTTTCATAAATCATTAAATACCGATCGAAATTGAAAATCGTAAAAACGGTTTCCTGAAAAATGAGCCAACTTCGACTTAAATTGTAATTTGTTCAACTCCGATACACAATATGTGCATAAAGAATAATAACTTTATAAAAGAAGCCGGAAAAACTTTAAATATCACTTATAAATATCATTAAGTTAGTCGAGCACATGGAACTGCTGCTCATACACGTGGATACGCGTGAATTTTCTAAATCTTGTTTATTTGTACAATAAACATCAACGGAAGTTTTTATTTGTGGTATTATGATTAGAGACGATTATAGCACATCAGTGGAGCGATTCTGATAATCGGTAAACTTTACCGGAAGTCATGTGTTTAACGAAGCATTAATATCAAAGGCCCACAAATCATTCTTAAACACAATACGCACAACGCAACTTCGTAAAACAGACTGGGCTACTTTATATATTCCATGCTATCCCCAACCCTTTCGCTCAAAGCAAAAAATAAGAGTGACAAGATTTTGCACTCTAACGAATCCTTGTGGAAGATCGGAAACGGAAAGAGCTGCTGCGATAATCACGCGCTCGGAAAAACGGTCCCCCATAAGTCACTCTGCGCATAAGGCCCGAATGAAATTCCAAATTCATTGTTTATACGTTAAATTTGGCGGCCTCGGCAAAAAAGTATCGTTGCCGTTCGTCCATGGGAATTCCCAGTCGCACGCCGGCCACACTTATGACGTGCGCACACAAACACATACACATGACGGCGCGACGTATCGTCCGCGTCCCCACTCGCATACCTTTGCGCTTTTGCCGACAACGTGGGTGCTCGTCCCTGGCCCTTCGTCGTCACCGACACTGACACCGCCTCCTACTTTGCCACCCGTCGGCCCCCGCGCACCCACCCGCGGGCTTCCTTCCTCCCGTCGCCACCGCCACGGTATCATCACTTTGTCTCGCTCGCTGATTTCGGATTCGAAATGCCCGGATGCGTCCGGCACTCGCTACTCCGATCATTAAAAGTGCAACTGTGGGAACGATTCAACAGGCGTTTTTTCCTTCCCCCCTTGTTTTTTCGGCGTTGCATCTTTCACGAGCCGATCGTTGCTTCGGGATCTTCGCGACGCTACTTATTTGCCTCGAATTAATTATTAATGCCATCGAGCAATATTACTTGGATTTGGGCCGTTTCCTTACTTCTTTCGAGTACAGCAGAATATTCAACAAGAACTTTTATTATCCATCAGTGGGCCAGATATTCGCTTAAGCTTAGATATATTCCGATATTACGCTGCTTTTCAAAAATAATACAAACAACAATAACCAATACACCGTTACGAGAATACACTACCTAATAGAATATGGGATACGAGTGCTAATAAGTATCATATCGACTACGCGCATCTCAATAAATATAAAATTGTAACTATTGGAGAAACAAAATAAAAACATAAAAGGATCGTTCACAACGAATGTTTAATAGCGAAAAGGAATCATGAATTTCCGTGCTAATTTGCCGATGACTGTATTTACGTGACAGAGCGAGCCCAAGCAGATGAGAACGCACAATCCACATTAGCACGACTAATGGCAGAGAAAATGCCTCGAAAGAGTGGCATAACCAACGCCCGATCACGACGCGCTTCTCGTCTCGACACGCGGTCACATGGTTAACGAAAGCTCGCTCATTTCCTTCGCGCCCGCTCGAGCAAACGAATAAAGCGAGAAAAAAAGACGTTCGAAAAGAAAAAATATCGAAGAAACAGAAAAGAGAATCTGTCAGTTCCCAGCGAGCCGGCTAATGAGGGCAGATATCGGGGGTTGTGGGGTGGCGATGGTAGTGGTGACGGCGACAGAGGAAAGGCGGCGGAGTGGCTGCTGGGGGGAGGGGGGGGGGAGGAGACCCGAAAGCGTGGTGCCCGTAAAAAGCAAAAATTATGCCAATAAGAAAATTAAGCAGATGTTCGTTTTCCAGCGGTGAGCGAGAGAGAGAGAGAGAGAGAGAGTGAGAGAGAGAGAGAGAGAGAGAGTGAGAGAGAGAGGGAGGGAGAGGGTCCCCCGTTCAGAGCGTGCGAGCGGGCGCAGCCCGGCGTGAATTCCCACACATCAACAGGTCTCGGGAGGGCCGTAGCCGTGATCCCCCCTAACCCCGCCGGCCCCCACCAAGCCGTCGCGCACACATGAACGTACACACCTCTACGTCCCACCTCCTCGACGTTCGTCTCCCTTCCGTCCTCGTCCCTCACCAACAGCCGACGATTTACTCCGCGCCCCATCCCGCCGGCGGCCCCGGCCATTAAAGGCAGGCCCCCACCGCTGGCCCGGAACAGGTCCCCACCACACCGAGCACCGACCGATGCATCGGCATGCGATCCTCGGAGACCCCAAACGTCAAACAGTTATCCTTCACACCCCGAACAGGCCGACGGTCCTGCTTCGGGATATCGACCAAGATTCGAAGACTCCTTCAGTCTATCATCGAGCATCGGTTTAACCAAGTCCCGCTCTCTGATCTCACCTGCACGCCTGCATCAACCACTGCACGCGCGCACATAAACTTATACGTATACTGTATATATATCTTTATATATATATATATATATATATACATATACGTTTGCGCACGCAAGCACAAATAAAAAAAAAAAAAAAAAAATATATATATATATATATATATATATATATATATATTGTGAAGTGATCGATTGATTGTGATTATCAAAGGAGCCGCTTCGACAGTTTGTGATCATTTACTCGTCTAAATGGTGGATTACTATAGTTGCAAGATGTCGGGAAGCGACGAAGAATTCGAGCCCCAGATACAAACGGGGATGACGAAGGCCGAATTACGAAGAGTAAGCGCTTATACTATTATCCATAATTTTTAATGTAACTTTAACGACCTGTCGAGCTATCGAGCCTACAGATCCCTATTCACTACCTTCTCTTTCTTCTTCCTCTCATTCTCTTCATCTTTTGATTCTTGATCTTCTTCTTACGTTTCTTATAGTTCTTAATCTTATATTTCTTTTCTATTCTTTTTCCGTCCTTCCTTTTTTTACGTTTTTTTTTTATCTCAAACGAACGTTACGAAAATAGCGTCGACGATCATTAAGCGCGAATGATACGATGACTGTCTTGGCTCGTGTATAAAATCGAGCAATAACGGAAGTTGATGCTTTGCCGTACGAAAAGCGAAAGGCCAATATAACGATGCTCAGAAGTTTGAATGGCGCATCGGTTTTTACGCCACGTGTGATGATCGCACGTGATGCGCCCTTTAGGGCTCTGCACCTGCCTTAAACTCGTCCTATTCGTTAACTAGCGCGGCAATACAACTGCCTCGAGGCACCTCCTTTAATAATTGGCAAATGTCCCACGAGACGACTTCGAGTCTTTATTTAATAATTAAATAACAAATACAAAATATAAAATAACAAAATAAAAAAAAAAATAATAATAAAACACGAATATCTTCCGTTTCAGAGCAATAAGCCGATCATGGAAAAGAGACGGAGAGCACGAATTAACCAGTGTCTGGACGAATTAAAAAGTTTAATACTGGAGGCGATGAAAAAAGACGTAAGTTAGCTTTCGTACTATTCTCTCTCTCTCTCTCTCTCTCTCTCTCTGTATATATATATATATATATATATATATATTATACTATTGCATTGAGCTTCGACAATTATCATGTAAAATTCAACAAATATTATGCTTTACATGATATGGCACAATTTAAATTGTACGCGTGAGCACTTCAAAACGTGCGAGTTTTGAAAATTATTTCCCCTAGTGCATAATAGTTAAGCCCGTGATAAATAATCGGACACTAGTTTACAAGAGAATATCGAACCAACAAAGGTTAAGAACCTAGCAACGTCTATTCGGGATTTCGGTATCCCCATATCGTCGGTACTGTTTGTAATGGCTCCAGACGACAACCGGGCAAACGACAACGACAACGACAACGACGTCTACGACTACGTCGACGAACAAGAAGATGACAATGACGACAACGTTGACAACAACTTCGAGCGATTCAACTCAATTAGCAAAGTCGTCGAGAGGCATCTCGTTATGTGCGCTTAATGCAATACGCATGCACACGCGCGTCTACACGTACGTAACCGCTCGTGTGTGTAAACGTGCAATCCAAACGTTATTTCGCTACACTCGCAGCTTTCGTCAGACACGAGTTAGACTAAATCGTGAGCATTTGTCCCGGCGCCGAGTCGCGCTGATTAAGCATACGTCACGCAGCTCCTGATATTATAAAGCCATCAGTCGTCACTTTTAATCATTGGCTCGATTCATCCCACTTGGCTTCAAAGTCATCGGACACTGCTGCCTAGGGAATCGACCGGGCACATACGACCACCACCACCACAGCTTTTTTCTCTCTTTCCTCTCGATCAGCACACCTACGTCATCATTATTCCTACCTCGTGTCTTTATATGTAGCACGTGATGCAGTACCGCTGCTTTAGCATGCATCCACTACTATTTTAACATCGTGCCGTTTCTTCAGCCTACTCGCAAGGAATAATCAATTACAAATTGTCGGATAGTCATTAAGGAGCGAGTGGACTGTACGGCTCGAGCGAGCGGACAATCGAGTGTCGGGAACGTAGGCTTACCGCAGCGTCGAGTAGCTTCGATCGTTCCCTCATCGTCCCGGCAACGCATTAAAACTGGCAGCGGCATGGTCGATTGTATAGGAAAGGGGCCCCCGGGGGTAGGGGTTTATTACGGGCGCGGCGGCTAGGGCGGGAGGCAGGAGGACGGTCGGTTAGGGGGAGAGGAGAGAAGGCAGGTCGATCAAGCACGTCCAGTCTTGTCCAACGGCATTCGGCAGGTTTGGGCCTCCTGCGTTTTAAATGCTCGCGCGTCTCGACGCCGTGGGAACGGACGCGCGCGCGCCATCAATTACCGGCCGATAAGCTCACGGCTAAGGAGGAGAGTTTTTTTTTTCTCCAACTCGCGCTACGCTTGACGACAGTGTCGTCCGGTAGTTTTTATGGTACGGATTCCCTTTCGAGGGGCGCCGGCGGGGAAGGGGCGACGTGAGCGAATCAGTGGCTTCGGCCAAGAGAGCGTAATTCAATAACGAGTCGCGTGATTCTCGATCAAAGAACCGACGCGAGAGCAACTCTTTATCCCCGCCCCCGCCTGGACAATCGGCGGCCGTGATTATGGACGCAGGCAGAAGGAGAGGGACACACGCACGCCGTATCTCGTCTACTCGTTAATCAATTTCGTCCCGTATTATCCGTGGCTGGTATCAGGGGAAGCGCCTTTCAAGCCGCCGCCACCGCCTCGCGCATTCGGCCCTAACCAAATGTTATGCAAAAGTCCGGGACTACCGTTCGTTAATTAGAGCCTCGCCCTCCTACCCCCTCCATGCCTAACGCCCCGTCGTCATCAGTCCCTCGTCACCATCAGCCACTGAGTGGCCCTCGTACTAGGAAGAAGAAAAAGGACTCGGCCGGGAAGTGTGCGCGACTCTGTCCGACTGTGTGTACGCGTGAGAAAGGCACAGAGAGAGAGAGAGAGAGAGAGAGAGAATGAGCGTCGATGCGTAACACTATCCACGGAGATTGATTTCTCAGACGGGCTTAACGAGGCGGGCATCGGCAATGCCCTGTCCAGATGACTTCCGCTACCTGCCCTTTCACGGCCTCCTACGCCAATATGCGCGGCAGTGCGTGCGTGCGCGCGCGTGCGTCAGGTACGTAAGTGCACACGTGCACGTCGGTACCACACCTCTACGTCCGTTTCGTTCCCAGCTTCCCTATTCCCTTCTCCCTCCTGCAGCTACGAAAATTTTCCCTCGTCGCACCATCGGTCCTCTTCGTCCGCTCCGCGCTTCGATCAGCCAACCCCGCGGGCACGCACGCACGCACGCACGCACGCACGCATGCACTCACGCAGGCACGCACGTACCCACGTACGCACGCGCTCATCTCCGTACTCCCCTCAGAACGCCCCCCGCGTTCGTGGGAACCGCCGAATAATTATTAAAAAGAGCAGGAGCGCCGGAGGGCGGAGGAGAGGGTGGCTGCTTCTCCGGTTGCCGGGCCTTCTCTCTTTTGTTGACCGTATCATCTTCAAGGATCCGCTGGGCCTGGTCTCTCCTTACTCGAAAAAGCCGTGCCGGGCGAGGGGGAGAGACGGCGAGAGGGGCACGATGATGGGTCGGCGGAGGAGGGCGGTGGGTTTGCGAGGGGTTGGGGCGGGAGGGAAGCAGGTCTGAGACGTGGGAGCGTAGCGTCTCACCGGGGCATCGTTGCCGTACGTATAGGTGACGGGGCGCGGTGGGGCGCGCCGGGGGGTGAGGATGGTGGGGGATTGCGTTGGCGTAGCATGAGGGGGTGGGGGCGTTCTCCCTTTTCCTCTCCGCTATACCCTTAGCAGGTGCCTTCATTCGATCTCCTCGAGGGTGTCCGCCCGAGCTATTCTTTTCGATTTTTTTTTGCCGGCTTTCAGCCCCGCACGGATGAAGTGTTACTGTTGACAGATTTCAATTTTATCTCCGGCTAATAATACCCACCTCCATTTCCTCTTAAATAGAAGCGCGAATAAAGAGGGAAAAAGGAAAAAGGAAAAATGAACTACCGATGCAGCCTCCGGTCGTGTTCACGGCACGCGTGCACGCCTCGCTGGGCAAAGGGGCAAGCGCACCCGGGGAAAACTTCCTTCCGCCCTCTGGGTCCCACTCACCCCACCCCAAAAAATAAAACGACCTCGGTCCTTCTCGCCGCGATAAGTATGCGGAAACCATCGGTGCTCTGCCGCCGCTCGAGATGCCGTCTCACAAGCGTCGAGCGTCCGCTACGGAATCGCCCGCGTGGCCCCGCTTCTTGAAACACAGCGCCAAGTCTTCCAGCCGGAAATTATGTTTGATCACGACTTCCGGCCGGCCGAGATTCCCAGCGCCTCGCGCCTTCGCGCGCAACTCTTTGTGCGGGGCAATAATATCGCGCGTCCTCGGCTCGAGCGAGAGGGAAACGAGCCGTAAACATACGCACGCGGACACACACGCCCACACGCACGCACGCACGCACGCACGCACGCACGCACGCATACACACAAAGCCCCATTGTCGACCATGACCGGGAATTCGTGAGAGCGTCTAGGATAGGAGTGAGTAAAAAGGTGGCGGACACAATGAGGAGGAGTCGAGAAAAAGGGCAGCCGGGAAGAAAAGGCAGACCCGATGGATGCTGTTGCCGATGCTGCTGGTGCTACGGCCGCTGCTAGCTGCCGCCGCTGCTGCTGCTGCTGCTGCTGCTGCTGCTGAGTCACCGGGGGTGTCATCATCGATGCCTCCGAGAAAATGCCCCGTTAAAGAGCCTCGGCCGCTTTGGTGAAAGGCCCCGAACTTTTTTCCGGGGATTTCTCACTAAAATCGGCCGTGGCACGAGGGAGGGATCGTTACGAGCTCTCCCTTCTCTTCCTTTATAATGCGGAGGACGTGGTAACGGGTTCCCACGCGAGGAAATAAAAAGACTGGCCCTTCGAGACGGAGAGCGAGCGTGCGAGCGTGCGAGCGAGAAAGCGAGTCTCGATCTTTTGAAACGATCACGTCCAGAAGTTAGGCGGCCCGACGTGAGCCTAAATTTTAAGACTCTTTAAGAGTACCTTAGAAAAGCTGACCAGATTTTTACACTATTCACTCTTGTGGGTTTTTAAATCTTTTTCTTCTCGGGCCCTTGCCGGCCGAACGCAATTAGACTCCTTGAAAGAGCCATTCGTCGTTAGCTGTTCGCCCGTAACGCACGCCCACGTGACTTACCTTACGAACGTTAACTAGTTCTTTATTCTCGGAAATCCGCTCTTGTGACGAATAACACGCTTTAGTCTCGGTTGAGAAATTACAAATTAGCGAACGCCTAGTAACACCAATTGCGTTCGCCAATCGGGCACACCAATCGCCCAGCGCAACTGTCTTCCGATAATGATAAGGGAAAGTAAAGAGCCTCGTAGCACGCTCGAGAGCTGGTTATTTCAAAGGGGCAGCATAAAATGTATCATTCGTAGCTACTGAAAATTGCGGAACTGCGATTAACCGGCGATCGGTAATGCATCCTCGGTTTTGATTATATATTTCCAAACCTGCGATTATCATAGATTTTTACGATTCCAGATTCGTAGCGAGGAACTTAACGATTAGAGGCGCTCGAGGCGATGCTACTTTTAAACGACTAACGGCTCGTTTGTTTCCATCCTTGCATCTCTATTTTACTATCCCCTCGCTCAACCCCGTCACCATTTTCCCCATCCCTCATCATCCATCACCATATACTCAACCATCCGTAGGGCTTTGCAAATGATAGGCTAAAAATAAAGCCCATTTCATTACCTCCTTCCTTCGACACCACCCCCCCCCCCCAACAACAACAACAACAACGCACTCACCCTACATTTCTTTCTATGCAAGCTTAAAGAGTTTATCATAATGATGCCATTAAAATGGCATTCTCATATAAATATACCTGGCATCGCTTCACTTACAAAACGGCGGCATGAATAATACCCGAGAGCTTACGTAAATAGTGCATACGAAGTATCCCAGTGGCAATTATCATTAGAAAACGATATATTGAAACGAATAGCGGGGTGAGAGAGAAAGAGAAAGAGAGAGAAAGAGAGAGAAACGCGTATCTAATGGATGTAATTTTTTTTATTTACAGCCGACGAGGCACTCCAAGCTCGAGAAGGCCGACATCCTGGAGATGACCGTAAAGCACCTTCAGCAGATTCAACGCCAGCAGTTGAGCACCGCCGTCGCTACCGATCCGGCGGTACTAACGAAATTTCGCTCGGGATTCTCCGAGTGCGCCAGCGAAGTGTCGCGCTACGTGAATCACCTGGAGAACGTCGACCCTACGGTCAAGCAACGACTCGTCTCTCATCTCAACAATTGCGTCTCAAATCTCCAGCAAGTCTCACCCTTCTACAATCACTACGTGCCTTACATGCCCGAACGACTCTACCCCGAGGTCAAGGTCGGCTTCCAGACCGACGCACAGAGCGGCGACGAGAACAATAATGGGAGCGCCCGCATTCAGATACCCAGCAATGTGCAGCTCATACCCAGCCGATTGCCAAGTGGCGAGTTCGCCCTCCTTGTGCCGCCGTCCGCGGGTATCGGCGCCAACTTTCCCTTCTTTCCACCGGGTGCCGAGGCGGGCGCGAGGCTCGGCCAGCCGTCGGCCTTCACCGCTGTCCAACGCACCCATAGTCCGCTTCTGAGCCCCTCCACCTCGACCTCGAGCTTCGAAGAGGGTCATCACTCGGAGCTCTACCCGACTTCCCTCTCGCCGCCGCAGTCGCGCTTCAAGATGCCGGAGCACCAGCAACAACAGCAGCAGCAAGTGGGCAATAAGGGTCTCTCCTCGCCCGACACCCAGAGGCCCCAGATTAGCTCGAGCAGCGATCGCAGCTCGCCGAGCGGCCTCGAGCTGAAGATCGAGACCTGCCCCACGTCCTCGAAGCGAGAGCTCCCGGAATCGAGCTCACGGCAGCCCCTCTCCGTCATCACCGACAAATACAACCGGAGTCTCGGGCTGCCGAGGCGCGAGGGTGCGCTTAAGAGGCACCACTCCGACGGACTCCTCGCCGTCGCCGAGAAGAGGCCCCGCAATTGCCAGGAGGCAGCCCCCTCGGTCGCCTCGACCAGCGGCTGCTCCAGTCCCGTGCTCAGGGTCAAGGAGGAGTTCGCCCACTCGACGGAGGATCTCAGCGAGGGTGCGACCTCCGTCATTGCCGGGGATGCCACGACGACCGGGAACGGCGACATGTGGCGGCCCTGGTGACTCTTGACCCACGAGAGATCCAAGACTCGCGCCGATGACGTCCAGCCTCCTTGCAATATGAGCCCGCTGAAGATCCACCACGATCTTCATCCCCGGGCCGATCGACGTCCTGTGTGCCTTAGCCTACGCTAGATATTTTTTTTTTTTTTTTTTTTTTCAAGTCTTTCACGCGCTGTTTATAGTTACGCTCAATCGTCATATCATATAATCGTGCCTTACGCACGACGATAATTTACAAAATGTTTCTTGTTACAAAGATTATCGTTATCATTCTCATCATCCTCGTCATTGTCATTACTATTACTATCAACGTCACCACTACCACTACATTATTATCATTTTTATGATTATGACTATTATCATTATGATTATTAGCATTATGATTATCATCATCATCATCATCCTCATCATCTTCGTCATCATAATCATCGTCACTATTATTACTATTATTATTATTATTATTACTATTATTATTATTATTATTATTATTATTATTATTATTATTATTACAACTACTACTACTACTGCAACTACTTTTATTATTATTACGCAATTATTATTATTATTTTGTTTATTATTGACGCGTTACGAAATATTATCTTTACCAAAAATAGATTTAAAAGAATCGTTGATTGTAGATGTAAGCAAGACATTATGAGAACATATTACGTTAAAATGATCGTGTTGGACAATGCACTAAGAACAATGTAAGCTTTAATAATAGAGAAGTCCTCGTCTATTGACTCTGTAAATATGTATATAAAATTAAGTTAATATTGTTTTACGTTTAGCATGTTGTTATATAATTACATACGCAAGAGATCCTTGGTGATCAGTATTTTGGACGAAAGCCTACGTAGTATTAAGAGTTTGTGATAAATATTTTCCAGTCGTTAAAATAAAAAAATAACTCGTACAATAATCATGCGAAGAATCATTTATTTCCATTTCCAAAAACCACTTGTCACTCGAAAATCCAGCATATGCATGAACAAACTATCCCCGACAAAGATGACTTAATTACCTTAAAATTATAATAATCATAGATAGACAAAGATAAAGAAGAAAACGAAGATTTTTAATGTGGATGGAGGAGCATCTTATTCCTAGTCCGACCGTAAAATCGAAATGTCCATTCGAGGAATTCAAGTTTTCGTAAATTTAACGATAAATGATGTATTAACGTCCATCTATCGAGGCGATAAAATTTTGTGTCGGTGTTGCGATAAACTGCGCCGAATATCTAACGCCATTCTATTCCTCACCGAAGACCTATCGAGGTGTTTTATCCTTTTAAGAGCGCGTTTAATGCGCTCGATTTTATAAGCTGGAGGTTGCTCTCTTCGTTTTTCCTCGATAAAAGAGTAAAGGAAAAAAAAACAAAAAAAAAACAAAAAAAAAAAACAAAAAAAAAAGAAAGAAAAAAGAAAAAGAAAAAGAAGAAGTTAAAGAGAATGAGAATTCCAACCACCTGTTACGCCGCAAAACCACCTTCGTATTCATCGACTGAGCGCGTGAACTGATTTATCGGCTAAGTCGGAGCGAGCACTTCACAGTCTGCTTTTCAACCTTTTCCAAACTTTCCATCTATACAGCTTCTTTCAGTAAATATTTCTTTTTGCCGGGACTTGAAAGTTTTTACTTCGATGTAAAAAAAAAAAGGAAAAAACAAAAAAACATAACCGATCGCTCGAGAGTTTCTATTTCACATTTCGTTTCATTTGCAAACGAATTTTTCTTATTCACCACCCAGCGTACGTACAAAAACAATTCAATTATTATTGAAATTGTCTAAGTTTATAGTTCATTGTGCGTGGCTTTATTATTTTTCTTTTTTCTTTTTTATTATTTTTGCAACAGTTGACTGCTAAATTATTAATATAAACTATATGGCTCAATGCTATTCGTAACGTAAATTGTTAACAAGCATTGTCGCCTAATTAATCAACATTGCTGAAACTTGGATATCCAATCAGGTATGGTATTCAATCGATGAATTATATTAACAAGAAGTGTACAATATTGTTATGAACAATTTAAGTAAGATTTCTGTTTAACCACAAGTCACTGATCGCACCATCTCTGATCGAAGCTCCAAAGTCCTTGCTTTTGCAGCGGGTCGATAAGTTTTAACTAGATGGCGCTACATTAATCGCAATGTCGATAATTATGAAAAGTTTATAACTTTTTAGAGAAATAAGTCGAACCAATATCATTTCGATGTAAGTTATTGTGCTGCCGTAACTTGTTATAAATATATAAATATTAATATAAATTTATCGTTCCTATTATCAATCTGTGCATATGAGATAAAAACTGTTTATTTATTTAATAAGACTGTATATATTATAGGAATAGGGAGTGTGCATTAGAAAAATATATTTGAATGTTTGAGCATTAGATTACTTTGAAATGCATCTGGTGAAAATAGTATAGTAAATAGCGTTAAATTATTATAAATTTCTTTTTTCATTTGTTTTTTCTTATTGTTTTTTTTTTTTTTATTAATGATGGCAAAGGTTGATTCTTGGTAATCTGGTTCTCGGCTAATCGAGCCAATCAAAGAGTATTTGAGTTTTGCATAAAAAAAAAACAAATGTTAATGATAAATTTTTTGTTCCTGGTCGGATGTATAAAATAGTGGGACCATGATGAATGGCGTGTGATCTGTCTAATTTCGGGTTGGTGAGTCTAATATAATAAAATAAGCGAGCAGAATGGAAAAGGACATTCCATTGAGGAGAAGAAGTCGATTGTAATTTAATCGAATTATCATTTCAATGGCAAATGCTAAGAAAATGGACGTAAAGATTTGTATAGACGGACCGATGTCCGAGGCTGTGAGCATACTAATTTAGTTCACGGCCACTCAGTTGATATATCGCTTTCTCATTTGCAAATTGAACGATCTTATAAAAATTTCCGCCTCCTCAACAATCTAGATTGTATTTTCTCGGATGTAATTGCAATTACAGAAACAAAGTTATGATTATAGAGAGAAGACTATTTAACATGCTCGTAAGCGGCGCATAGGTGTATTCCAGAGAGGCGAAGCTATTTTATTACAGTTATAAACTTCGCAATGATATAAAGCTATAATTAATCATCATCTCAAATATATTGATGGACTATCGTAAAAGCGGCAGGCCGTAAATTTATATAATTTCAAAAGGAAATATTTCAGCAGCTGAATAAAATTTCCATTATTTCGCGAGATCCACTATGCATATAATTAATTATTCAACAATAGGCAAAAACAGACAAATGCACTAAAGCTATTCAAATTACCTCTCACGTGTATGGCAAGTGAAATCCAGATAGGCATTCCACCTTCCGCATTCGATAGGAAAATGCAGCTCTGGAGCATCGGGCGTGCGGTGGCTCCGCGTATAAATACGAATAGAGTCGGCCGGTAACGATGCAACCCTTGGCCGTATCGGGAGTATAAATAATTATACTGGCGCGCGGCAATTACTTTAAGTTATGGCGTAGCCGGTACAATTTGCAATGTCAAGACATAAACACTGCTACTGCTTATATTTGAATACATTAAGAGACGTGGCGAGCGTCACGATTGGCTGAAATCGGCCGACAAGTACACGCCCGTATCGGCATGGGACTGAGCTACGATCTGCTTGACGATTTTTATTGTGTAAAAATGTGCCTCCTGAACTCATAAAACTTTGATGGATAATTAAAGCTTAATATGTATCTGCTAAGATTTATGTGTATACATTCGCGTGCACTTTTACTCGCCGAGTCTCCTTACGAATAAAATATCTAGTTAATAAAATCGCATAACTTTTACTTATCGGCTTTAACTGCAAAATAATTATAAAATAAAATTTAATATTATAGTCTGAAAAATGAGGGGAATATTAAGTTCCGCCGAGTTAATAAATCCTTTTATAAAGCAAAGAACGCATTCTAATAATTAAATTCATCGTTTCGATTCTCTCAAAGGCAAGACATGTAAATCTATTTAGACATCCAATTAAAATATAAATTAAATATTTAAATTCTCCGGTCATTTTCGCTATTATTATAAAGGATACTCACTCGAATGAAAGCAAAGAAGAAAAAAAAAATTTATAACACTAGATCGTACTGAGTGCAAGCCTATAATTTAGGCAATAATAATTCTCAATGTTAATTGATATGTCTAATAATCCATGTGCCATTGAAATTCATAAAGTCGCTCCATTATAAGCGATAAAGAAGAATTGTCGCTGAAATATCTCGAGGTCCGTGGACCGCTCAGTAGAGAGAGGGAGAGAGTGAGGGAGAGGGAGAGGGAGAGGGAGGGAGAGGGAGAGAGAGAGAGAGAGAGAGAGAGAGAGAGAGAGTTTTTTCTTTCTTTCTTTTTTCTTTTAAATCGTTATTAAGAGCGGCTCGAAATAAGTCGACCGATATGTAAAGAGATCCTGTTTAAATTCAAGATCCTGTCCTATATGCGGCAGACTCGCTGGCAACGGAGGCAACTAAACTAAAAAGTCTATTCGATTGTTCGGGGTCGATTATTTATAGATGCTCAACTTTTTGCAACATAATAAGAAGACGTATAGACCGTTTTTTATTTCATTCGAGGTATTTTCTGCGAGGAATTACGGGACAGGTTGTTTCGAAGAATTAAATGCATCGTCGTAATGCACATGTCATTATGGATATTTTAATGAAAATTTATTTACATGCGTAACAGTTTTAACGATCCTTCCAAAATCCTGTGATATTTTGCAATATAAACAAATATCGAAATTTTCATGAAAATGACTGGTCATATTTTGCTATGAACATATTGATATATACAAGTGATATTAGTCGATGCATTAGAAAATCATGTAAGGTTAGGTGAATATTGTGATTATTCCGTTTAAGAGAGAGAGAGAGAGAGAGAGAGAGAGAGAGAGAGAGAGCGATTATCTTATGAACAAAACTATAAAGAATGATTAATACTGGATAATTAAATTTTTTCCCCTCGTATTATTATCATTTAATTATAGGCAATTGGAAATAATATTTTGTTCGTTCATTGCATTTATATCGTTTAGAATATATATTTTCTAATCGTCGAAAAATCTAAAAATTCAAAATTATTCATCGAATTCATCAATTTTAGAAGTTAGC